CTCTTAATTAATACTTGTTGATCAGTTGATTTGAAGCCCAGTTTGGGCTGTCCTCCCTCCTTGCCTCCACTCAGGGAGCCCCTCGCTTCTTTTTCAGATGCTCCTGGGACCCCATCTTCTCCATGAAGCCTTTCCCACATCCCCCCAACTACTCATGCCCATTAAGAGAGTCATTCTTAGCCATTTTGTATTTGACTACTCTGTGTGCATATATTAACTTTATATATGTTCCTATTAGAATAAACTCTCTGGTCATAGAAATTCTTTCATTCTAGTACTTGGCACTTGTCTCCCCAGGGCCTGGTACATAGTAGGTGCTTAGCAAATGTTTGCCATTTGATTCATTGCATCACTTACTGCCTGGAAAAATCATTTCCTCTTTCAGCACATCAATTTCCTGTGTGTCTGTAAAATAAGGGAGTTGGACCAATTGACTTGTAAGTTCTTTTCTGCTTTAAATCTATGCTCCTGTTGTCCTCAGAGATTTCTTAGGGCTGTGATTTTAAGTATTCAGCCAGATAAGAATTCCAAATAAAATTAATAACCAATATTTATGTAGGAAAATATGTAAGTATGTATATATATACATATACACACATATGTGTGTGAGAGAGACACAGAGAAAGAGAGAGAGAGAGAGAGAGAGAGAGTGAGAGATATCTCAATTGATCCCCATAATAATCCTCTGGGGTACCTGGATCATTATCACCATTTTACAAATGAGGAAACTGAGGCTGAGGGTAGTAAAGAGACTTGCCCAAGGTCACATAAGTCATAAGTAGACAGCATATTCAGTATATTTTAACATTCTAAGCTATATTCTAGTGTGTGCATACACAAATCTTTTAATACAGATGTTAAATGCCTCTTAACCTCCTTAGCTTCATTCAGGGCTCACCATATTCTACCTAGCACCCAAAGGCTTTTCCTTTTTCCTGCCCCTACTCCCCCCTCCCATTACCTGTTAATGTTCTTTCTCTCCCTCAAATGACATTATATTTGTTTATTCCTTTACAAGTTCTACCCCAAATAGGTTGTAAGCCCCTTGAGGGCAGGGGTGTTCCACGTTTTTTTTTTTTTTTGGTTCTGATAGCCACATTCCCTTATTCTTAATGGGTGCTTAATAAGTGCTTATTGAATTGAATTAGATGTTCTTTGGGACACTGCTGAATGGTTACAAATCTTAGACTAGCACGGGCTTGTGGGGGACCCAAAGGTCACTAGAGAGATTTGGCATGGTGGATACCAGTGGTAGTTGTGGCATATTTCCAATGTTGATCTACCTGAAAGAAAGGGTGCAGGTAATATCAGTCAGCATTTATTAGGCACCTGTTATATGCCAGGCACTGGGCTAAGTACTGAGGAATACCATTGAAGAAATACTTAATTGAAAAGAGAGCAGTGTCAGGCACATGGCAAGAACAGGAGAGAGCAGGGGGACAGCTGGGCCCCAGGAAATCGAAAGAGACCCCAAGAAAAGCTTTTGGCTTTTGGGACGATCCTCCACCCAAAGCACAATGCCTGGCACAGAGTAAGTGCTTAATGAATGCTTGACTTCTGACTCTGGGGCTCTCTCTTTATCCACTTTACCATGATGACCTCTAATTTGTACCTCACAACAATGCCGTGAAGTAGGTGCTATTACTATCCCCACTTTACAGATGAGGAAACTGAGGCAGACAGAGTTGAAGTGACTTGCCCAGAGTCACACCACCAGTAAGTATTTGAAGGGGAATTTGAACTTGGACCTTACTGACTCCCAGCCCAGCACTCTACCCCCTCTGCCCTGTTGTGCCCCTCTGCCCATCTTGTTATTACTGTCATTTAAATCCCTTCTTTCTAGTGGGGTTTTCCACCTGCCTTTGCAGTCCTCAAGTCTCCTCTCCCCAGAGAGCATCTTTCCTGAGGCTGGGAGCTGTGGAAATGTACAGCTATTCATAATCAGGGCCCTCCCACCATCAGTAATGAGAAGTTGCTGCTCTTAATGAGATTTGGCTCCTATTATGAGCCAAATTACGGAAGTCTCTTATTAGTGTCCTTTTTCGGGGGGGCGGGGGAGGGGGAAGAGAGAGCACTCCCTGGACGGATGGACTAGGCAGATAGGGAGAAGGACCTCAAGGAGAGAACAGGGAGTTTAGAGTCTGGCTGTGCCTACAGCTCCCTCCTTTGTAGCAGCCAGTTACCCTTTCTGGGCTCAAGGAATCCCTCATCAGCAAAATGAGGGGTTGTACTGACTAATCGGCTGAGCTGACATTAACAGTCAAGCGAGGTGTGCCTGTGCTGGTCCTTCTTTTGGTGCATACACCAAGGGCACCGTGGTTATGGTCCTTACCCTTCCTGAGCCTCAGTTTCCTTCTCTGTAAAATGAAGGAATTGGGCTGGCTGCTCCCTGAACTCCCTTCATACTTTGGATCCAGGCTCGGATGGAATCTTAGATCTGCTAAGGAGCAGCTTGTCAGTCCTGACAGTCAGCTCCTCTGGAGCAGCCCTGACCAGGGAAAGGCACAGAGAAAGAGAGATGGAAAGGAAGAATGAGGAGGGCAATCTGGAGGACCATGGATACCGGAAGAAGAAAAACACAGAAAGCTAGAAAATAAGGAGAGAGAGGACAAGGAGAAAAGGAAGAGGAGTGAGGAGAGGAGGAAGAGGAGGAAAAGGAAGAGAACAGTGGGTAGCAATCCCTTCTGTTCACATTCCAGCTTCTCCCAAATGCTACCATCTTAAGATAAATAAAGTGCTTGCCATCTCGTTGCCAGGTTCCAGCTAAGGCAAGCGCAGGAACACAAAATCTTTTCCTTAAATCTCCCCAGAAAAGGCCCAGATGAAAGTCAAGGCATCAGAGCCTCCTGCAACTACTGAAACCTTGGACCAATGGAGAGATATATATATATATAGATATATATATATATATATATATCTATATATATATATATATATCTATATATATATATATCTCATCTCTTTTAAAAAGGCCAGGACCTGTTTTGAATTTAATAGTTTAAAGCAACTAATTAAGGATCATTTATTACTGAGGGGGTAGAGGTTACATTTCTATCAATGGGTAGCACTCCTCAGGTAACTTTGTTACTAAATAGAAAAAAGAATGCTGTGATTAAATAAGCAGTTGTCCTGACACTAATCAATTCAAGCTAGGCAATTTGAAATGAAGCCTAAGACAGTCATTAGCCACTGCCCCTGAGAAAAGCAAAAATAGCAGGTGAGAAAGCCCACATTTGTAGCCCTGTGCAATAGAAAGATTTGCCTTTGCGTGATGTGTTTAACATTTCTTAGCCATGTGAGCCTCATTTTCCTCATCTGTAAAATGGAAGCAGTAACACTTGCCACGTATATCTCAGAGACTGATCATGGGGACAGTGTTTTGTAAATCTTAACGTGCCATACACGTGTGAAATGTCATCACCATTATTGTTATTTATTGGAGCCCTGAGCAATGCCGCTGGTAAGTGGATGTTTCCTGATGCTGTTATCTGTCCTTTCCTTAGTCAGCCAACTAGAACAGACAGCTTTAATTAGGCTGGCTAAGGAGAGGATGTAAAGTGGCATCTGCCACGTTGGCATTGAGTTCTGTGACGTTAGAGCTGATTCTTCAGGCCACGTCTGCAGGACTGAATTAGCTCTGAAATCCTCTTCCTTTGATGTACGCCAGAAAATGTCATAGTCCTAACAGGCTAATGCCCCAGAGAGATCAAATAAAGCGTCAGAGACCCACGAGTACCAAGAAATACTTAGAGCAGCTCTTTGGTAGTGCCCCAAACTGGCAAACTGAGGGTTTTCCCTGAATAGAATGGAATTGCACCCTAAAAAATAGCAGAAGTGACAGATCAGAGAAAGCTGGGGAGACGTGACTGAACTGATGCAGAAGTGCAGCAGTCAGTTTGTGCAGAAACAACATTATAAAGACAAAAACCTTCGAAGGATATAAGAACTCTGAGAGCAGACCAGCTCCAGTTCTAGCAGACTGATGACGAAGGTTGTCACCTTCCCCTGGATAGAGAAGTGATAGACCTAGGATGCAGAATCAGATCAACATTTTGGGACACACACACACACACACACACACACACACACACAGAGAATGGCATAGTTGTTGTTTTTTCTCCCTATAAAAAAACCAGTTTGAACTTCTCATTTATTCAGTCAACACACACTTACTGGTGCCTGCTTTGAAGAAGACACTAGTTAAGGACTGGGGATATGGTGGTAAAATGAATCTCATACATGTGCATGGGAACTCTGGGCAGGGTTGGGGCACTTCTGCCTATAGCAATCCTAATAGGATTGACGTTAGACCATCTGCAGAGTTTTATTTGGCCATCTTCTCATGTTGGCCTTAACTTACCCAGGCTGAGTGAGCTCTAAGGGATGTCTTTCAGGATAACTTTTGTTTCCCCTGTCCCAGTTATGCTTATAGCATTTTTGGTATTTTGTTGCCAATAATAATAACTGTTATTTCTAGAGCCCTTTCAGGTTGGCAAAGCCCTTTTCCTGTGCCATCTCATCTGACCCTAAGGATAACTCTGTCATGTTCAGTTGTGTCTGACTCTTCATGACCCAATGGACCATATCATGTCAATACTGTCCATAGGGTTTTTGTGGCAAAAATACTAAAGTGGTTTGCCATTTTACTTCTCCAATGGATTGAGGCAAATAGAGGTTAAATGACTTGCCCAGGGTCACAGAGCTAACATATTTCTTTTTTTTTAAAATTTTATTTTTTTATTTTTTGCTAGGCAGTGGGGTTAAGTGACTTGCCCAAGGTCACACAGCTAGTAAGTGTTATGTGTCTGAGGCTGGATTTGAACTCAGGTCCTCCTGACTTCAGGGCTGGTGCTCTATCCACTGTGCCATCTAGCTGCCCCTTGAGCTAACATATTTCTAAGACAGGATTTGAATTCAGGTTTTCCTGACTCCAAGTCCAGAGCTTTAGACTTTAAAAAAAAACAAAACCACACATTCACATTATCTGTATTGTACTGTATTTTTATTTATTTTGCTACATATTTCCCAATTATGTTTTAATCTGGGAGTTGGGAGGGAGTAGGATTGGCTATAGGAACCTCCACCCTAGAGTACAGAAGAGGGACCTTTTCCTCTGTGATTAGAGAGAAGGAGTCGTAGTGAGGATGGCAAGTTTTGAGGACTAGAGGAGAGGCATTGAAGGAGCCCCATTCAGTGCCCTCAGTCTTCTCCATGAAGTGGGAGGCTGGATCACCTAGTAGAGAGGAACAGGAACCATCTATATTAACCTTAACTGCTCTATAAACACTCTACTGCTCCCCTGGCACTCACATGGTACCAGGCATCTAAGTGCCCCAGCTGGTGGGAGAGTAGCCCTTGCTTACTTAAAAAACAAAGATCTGCGCCGTGCACGGGACTTGTTCTTTCATCCAAGCGTTCTGGATTGGGAGGATTTCAGCAGTGAGAGCCCTTAGTTTTTGTGATTTTCATTAGATCTGAAAGGCCACATCAGCCCAAGGAAAAAGACCCAATTTTTACCAAAAACCTCTTTCTTTCCTTCCTGTTCCATCCACCTCCCCCCTTCCCCACAGTCCCCTTTCTCTCCCTTATCCATTCTTCCTCCTTTTCCTTTTTTTCCCCTTCCCTTCCCTTCTCCTCCTTCTCTCTCCTTCTCCTTCTCCTTTCTTTCTTTCCCTTCCTCCCCTGTAAGGTGGGTCTTTCCACAGGTAAATACCTCCTGTTGTTTCCAGGCCATCGCTGACTTTGCTGTAGCAAACAAACGCACAGACACACCCAAGGTACATTTTCCACTCATTTCCCAGCATGACCCAGCATCCCGACAAAAGTGAAGTCTGAGGTTTCTGTTCTGAAAGTGAAAAGTAAAAGTGAGGATGACCCTGGCATGTCGCTCTGTCAAAGGAAGTGGTTGGCAGAGCCAATTCAGCCTGGAGAAGGACATGTGTAACCAAAGGACATTTTGTCACTGAATCCTCTTAGTGGAGTTCAAACTCAGGTCCAGAGGCACCTTGCTTGCTTTCAAGAGGCAGCTGCATGACTCAGTGTATCCACTGGGCCTGCAGTCAGAAAGACTCAAGTTCAAATCCAGCCTTAGACACTTACTATGTGACCCTAAGCAAGTCACCTAACTTCTGTTTACCTTAGTTTTCTTGTCTGTAAAGTGGGGATAATAACAGCACCTCCCTCTCAGGACTGCTGTGAAGATCAAATGAGATAATATTTGTAACACAGCACAGTGCCTGGCACACAGTAGGCACTGTATACTTTTGCTCTTCCCTTTCCCCATTCTCTAGATTTTTTCTTAGATGTTCAGATGCCTTTAAGAAACAAGATCTCCGTTTTCTGACTGGGGTATTCTCACCTTGTAATCCCCATTTTTTTTTCAGTGAACTTGCCGATGAGGTTGGTTTTTCCAAGCTTTGGCATGATGCTCGTGAGACTGAGTGAGGTATCTTAAAGTAGGATTGGAGCATGTTGTTTGCCCTCTTGTTAGGTGGGGAAGGAAGAGAAGTTGGAATTCAAGATTTAAAAAAGGAATTATTAAAAATGGTTGTTTTGTTTTTTTAAGAAATAGGCTCATAGTTCTTAGAGTTGGAAAGGATTTTCATCCAAGTCTCTTGTTTTACAGAGAAGTTAGCTGGGTTAGTTAAGCCAGGACTTCACACGTAGGAAATAACCCAGCCAGGATTTCTGTCTAGATCTTCTGACTCCAGACACAAGATTCTTCCTCTCACACTGTAGCTGGCTACAGGGGAAGGCCATCTCACTGCCATTTTCTCATGTTTGACATTAACACTCTCTGATCGTAAATATAGCTCTTTTTGCATTTCAGGTTGCTTTTGTGTATGAGAGGAAGCTGAAAGCCTTCTCCACAAGGACAATTACCACCCATCTGTCTACCTTTCTACCTGTCTGTCTGTCTCTCTATTTACACATACATATATAGGGGTGTGTGTGGGTGTGTGTGTGTGTGTGTGTGTGTGTGTGTGTGTGTGTGTGTGTGTGTGTGTGTGTGTGTAGCCTGAGTGCCTGAGAGAATTCTGGTTCCCTCAACAGTAAAAGCCTGGATGACGGTTATGTTTCTGGGCAGAGAATTGGTTTGATCATGAGTTTAGGATGTTTATGGGATACTGAGTCTAAAATGTCCAGTCAGCCATTGCAATTGGTGATTAGGAGCTGGATGGAGCCCACTCAGGCAGGATGTGTGAGTCATTGACACAAGGATGATAATTGGATCCATGGGAGCTGATGACATTACCAAGAGAGAAAAGGGAAGAGGACCGTAATGGACTCTGAGAGCTGCCCACAGTGTTAGTGATGGCCATTAGACTGGGAGCCCCCTGAGGGCAGGGGCCGCCCTTTGCCTTTCTTTATATGCACCGTGTTTAGTGCAGTTTAGTGCCTGGCACACTGTGGGTATTTAATAAATGTTCGTGAGGGACCAGCCAGCAAAGGAAACTGAAGAAAGGTAGGACAGTTGGAGGAGAGCTGCGGGGGAGGGGGAAATGTCACCAACATCCAAGGAGAGGGGAATATTGGGGAGGAAAGGGTGGTAAGCACATAAAAAAGGACAATCACTGTAATGATTATTCCTTATAGCCTGTATTTGATGAGATTGGTGGTGTCTGGGACCATTCTGTCCCAGATTAACTGGCTCTGACTTAATTCAAACTACCCTGTTGGGAAATTTCTCTTCTCATTACAAGAGGATGCTTTAGGAAGTCAGATTCATTTCTGGGGCCCTTATGGAATGGAACTTTGTATGTCAGGACTGAGCTTTAGGGAACACGGCCAGGCATAGGCCAGAGACCTCTGTCATCCTGCAAGGAACAGATGTTCATGGGTCCTGTGCAGGCCTGTGTCTTTCGGGATAAGAAGCGGTTACTTAAGCTCAGTAGTGATGGTTATGGGCCATAAGGGGAGACACACACACACACAGGGAAGCACACACATACACGTGATCTAACTTGACCTTGAAACATGGAATGCTGCTTCAGCACAAGGTTTGTTTGAGAACAACTCTCATCACATCTCACTGAGAGGGAGGAGCAGAGAGGCTCTCGAGGGCTGGAATGAGTGAAGACAGCCCCCAGGGAGCTGCTGCCCAGAAGCTTCCACAGATGCCAGGTGGGCACAGCTGGCTGCCTGGCTCTTCCAGGTTGATTTTCATATTCAAGGTCCTCTCAGACCTAATCTGTATCAGGCACCACAGATTGATAGGCTCAGTTATCCACATCCAGAGGATCTTGGAACATTGCCCTGCATTCATCTGGTTCATCTTTTATAGATAGTTTTATGTGGACATATTGTTTTCCTCCCTCCAGAGACATGTGCCCTGCCCTTTCTGTCCCCACCCTTACCCCCAGGTAAGCTCCTTGAAGGTAAAGACTTTCATTTTTGTCATTATAGCCCACTGCTTGGCACATAGGTAGAGATAGGGGCCAGACCTGTGATTTTGAGGCTACAGGGAACTCCCAAGTAAGGAAACTCCCTCTACCAGTACTGATTTGTACCTCTTCTACCACAATTCTTAGAGAACTGCCTAGTGGTTCAAAGGTAGGACTTGAACCCAGGATTTCCTGACTTTAAAGGCCAGCACTCACTGTTCCAAGCAGCCCAGAACATACTACCTTGACTACTACTACTACTACTGCTGCCACTTCTACTATACTACTATTACTACCACTACTACTACTGCTACTACTACTTTTTTTTTTGGTGAGGCAGTTGGGTTAAGAGACTTACCCAGAGTCACACAGCTAGTGAATGTTATGTGTCCTCACATAACTCAGGTCCTCCTGACTCCAGGGCTGATGCTCTAGCCACTGCACCACCTAACTGCCTCTACTACTATTACTCCTACTACTATCAGCACCACCAGTAATGATCATGATAATAATAATAGCAACAACAACAGTAGCAGTAGCATTTATATAGCCTTTCAGGTTTGCAGAGTGCCTTATTATCTCATTTGACACTTACAGTAGCACGTGAGGTAGGTGCTCCTATATTCCTGTTTTATAAATGAAGTAATGTAGGCTACGCTTCTTTCTTGGTGACATCAGCTCCCATGGCATTTAACTGTCAGCTCTGTGTAGATGATAGAAAGATTCAATAGAAAGACTGACTGATAGATTAGATAGGCATATCAATAGATAAATGAATAGATTAGATAAACAAATAGACCCAATCCAGCCTCTTCTCTGAGCTTTATTTACTCTGTATCCCAAATTGTCTGTTGGACATTTCTCTGCATATTCCAGGCAATCTTAAACTCAGCATATCTAAAACTGAACTCATCCTTCCCCCCTGAAACTCTCCCTCTTCCACTGTCCAAGTCACCACCATCTTCCACTCTCCCAGGTGTATCCTTGACATTATCCTCCGCTCCCCTGTCTCTGTCACCCCATAGATCCCATCAGTTGCCAGATCTTTCCCTTTCCACCTTAACCTGATCCCCTGCATCTTGCCCCCTCTCCCTACTCACACATCCACCACCTTTGTTCAGGCCCCAATCCTCTGCTTCATCGGTATTCCTGGCTTGTCTCTTATCACTCTAGTAACTAGAGTCTAGTCCAGTGGTGGGGAACCTGCAGCCTCCAGGCCACATGGGGCCCTCTAGGTCCTCAAGTGCAGCCCCTTGACTGAATCCAAACTTCACAGAACAAATCCACTGAATAAAAGGATTTGTTCTGTAAAACTTAGACTCAGTCTAAAGGTCACACAGGAGAATGCAGAGGGCCCCATGTGGCCTTGAGGCTGCCGGTTCCCCTCCCCTGCTGTAGTCCATCCTCCACGCAGGAGCCAGAGCAGTTTTCCTTCAGCTCAGATCGGACTGTACCACTCCCTTATTCTGCTAACTCCAGTGGCAGCGGGGAGTCCATTGCAGGCGTGGGGGTGTGGCACAAGCAGAACGACAGAGATGAGAGAAGGGGGCAGAATGAGAGCCGACCTTTCAGACAATTCCATTGTGGTTAGGTTCATGGTATATGACATGAGACTGAAATGCAGGCTGGAGCTAGATGGTGAAGGGCCTTGAATGTCAGGATCAGGAATTTTACTTTATTTAGTTGACATTGGGAACCACTTGAATGTTTTTTTGAGTAGAGGAATGCTCTGGTCAGAGCCATGTGTTAGGAAAATTTCTCAGGCAGCGCTATTAAAGAGGGATTAAAAGCAGGGAGATTGGAGGCTGGAAGACCAGATAGTTGGCTTTACAATTGAATTGAGAAGAGATGAGGCCCTGTGTTAGGGAGGGTTGTAGTGAGAGTGGAGAGGAGGGGGTGGATGGAAAAGCCTGGGGAGAGCCTGGAGAGAATCGAGGATTTGACACCTGACTGGGTGTGAAGGGCAAAGGGTAAAGGAGAGGATGGAATCCAACAGGACTCAGGAATTGATACAATACAGACTGTCCTAGATCTCCCTTGGTTCCCATAATTTGTTAGCACATCTCAGAACCATCCTTTTGAGCAGCGGCGATACCTAATGTTTTACATGCTGTGGGGAAATGATAAGCATGTGCACGTTATGCAGAGATTGGAGTTTTCTTTCATCTTTGGTCTGAATATAATCTAAACTTTTTTTTTTCATTTGTTTTGTAGCGGAAACGGAAGCAGAGCACCCAAGATGAGGATGCCATCAGCCTGTGTAGTCTGGATGCAAGTGTAAGTCACATCTTTCACTTTTCTGGGACATCGGCGTATGGAGTGCATGGGGCCTACTCCCTGACCAAGGTTCATGAAATTGGAATTTTAAAACCTGCCCAGGTTGTGGCAGAGAGAGGCCGGCCAGTGGTGAGGGCCTGTGTGCTTGCACTCCTAAAATGAGTCACAAACTCAGGGCTTCTGAATGTAGTGAGCTTGAGATCAACGCAGCCAGAGTATGGTGGCCCCAGTGATGCCAAGCTGGTTGGTTTGTCCCTTGAGCCTTAGAGCTAGGCTTCTGCTGGGCCAGGGAGTGGGCCAAGGCATCTCTGGGCCCAGTGATGAAAGAGAAAGCACTCAGGGCACGTGGGGGACATCTCCCGGCTCTGTGGGCCCAGCTTCTTTCAAACGGGTCTCCCTCAGTGTCACTGCCTAGTACAGTTGGGTAATCTTAGCTGAGACTCAAGGACTGACTTTGTCATGATGTGATTTAACAAGCCTTCGATCTCAGTTCAATTCAGTGAACATTGATTTAGTGCCTACTACGTGCTAGGCACAGTGGTGAACACTGGGGATACAGAAAGAGGCAAAGGAAAACTCCTGCCCTTGAGGAGCTTACAATCTGCCCCTCTCCAGTCCATCCTCCACACAGCTGCAAAACTGATCTTCCTGAGGCAGATGTCTGCCTGTCACTGCTGCTCAAAACCCCTCGGGGGCGCCCCCCTTCCTCCAGGCAGAGATGCATACTTGTTAGGTGGACCCTCCACAATCCCACCTGCTACCTGCCTCCCCAGCCTCATCTCTCACACAGCTCCCCAATCATTTAGATAGCCTTGCACTCACACCAGACTGCTCAGCTGATCCCTGCTCTCAGCCCACCCCCACTTGCATCCATGCATTATCTCGCACTAATAGTAAAGTGATGATGTAGTTATTCTCATTAAATGTATTTTATTGGTATCATCTTTTCGAATTGCCTCAGTTTCCCCTGTATCCCTCCCTTTCTCCCCTCACAGAGAGCCACCCTATATAATAAGGAATATTTTTAAAAGACAAAAACCAAGCAGCCAAACTGATCAATACATTGAAAAAAAAATCTGAAAATCTCTGGAATGTTCCACACCCATGGAATATGAACACCTCAGGTGTGTGTGTGGCTGGGGTCAAAGTTTGTAACATTCTTTATGTATGGATTTCCTTTGATTTGATCCTCACTACAACCCTGGGAGACAGGTGCTATTATTTTCCCCCATTTTACAGAAGAAAAAACTGAGGCCAAGAGAGGTTAAGTGACTTGCCCAAGGTCGTGTAACAGGAGATTCAGGTTTTCATGCTACGCTCTGCTGGTAAGTAGCTGTGGGCTAGTCACTTGCCCACTGTGGACCTCAGTTTTCTCATCTGTTTAATACAGATGAAATTCTTTACAGATGAAATTCTTACCGCACCCTTCCCCCAGCAGGATTGGGACACTTAATTCAATTAAGCAAGCATTTGTTAAGCTCCCACTATATGCAAGGCCTGTGCCAAATGCTAGAGCTACAAAGGCAAAAATGAAAAGGGGTCCTGTCCTCAAGAAGCTTATGTTCTATACTGGAATTCTATGGATAGCCTCCTAACTTAATTCATTGGTACACATATGTTGGATACTGACTGCAGAAGGGAAGTGAGCAAAGCTTAGAATTGGTGAAGATGCCAGCAGATTGGACTGGTTTATATTCAGAGGAGGCATGGGCAGGAGAGTCCTGCTGGCCATGAGACCTTGAGCAGGTCACTTACAGGTGATTAAGGCGGATGAGTGTGGACCCTCAGAATAGAGAGAAGGGGGAGGATGGGAGAGACAGAAGCTGGCCAGAGCTTGCTGAACACTTATGGTGCGTGTTGGAGAAGGAATAGTCATGAGTGACTCAGAGGTTGTGGACCTGGGGGATTGGGAAGATGGCAGTTCCTTGGCCAAAGCATTGGGAAGTTGGGAGCAAGGCCAGATTTAGAAAGGAAGGTGAATTCTGTTATCGACACCTTGAATGTGAGATATATGAAGTTGGCAGGAGAGATTAGGGCTGAAAACATAGATCCCAGAGCCATTGAGAGGCAGAGACAGAGACCCCAAGTTCCATTTCTAGCTCTGCCACTCATTGTCCGTGGAATCTTGGGCAAGTGGCTAAACCTCCCTGAGTGTCAGTTTGCTCCTCTGTAAAATGAGACGATTGCACCCGATGGCCTCTAAGACCTCAATTCCACGTCTGAATAGATAGTCCTATGACAGTGAGGAAGAGATGGCAGAGCCCACAGGAGAGCAGAAAACCACCAGGGTTACTATAAGAAAAAAAAATCATCCAATTGCCCGATGAAACTGTCTTCTTATACTAGTAAGAACTTACATTTACAGAAGGCTTTAAAGCTGGCCAAATGCTTTACATATGTAACTGAGTTTCAGCCTCACAAATACCTTGTGAACTAGGTACTGTAGCTATTATTATCTCCATTTTACAGATGAGAAAACTGAGGCTTAGAAAGGCAAAAGGGTCATGTGGTTCGTGAGTGGTGGAGGTAGGATTTAAACCCAGATCTTCCTGTTGAAACATCAGTGGGGAGGCAAACATGAGAAAATTTAACCAATTTCCTCACCCACTTCACAGCTGAAAATGTTTTCAGTGTTTCTGCTGTTTAGGTTTCCTGGCATGGTAGGTTGATTGCAACAGTGTTTAGAGAAAGCATGCCTCTTTCAGAGAGGATCTGTCACATAAAAAGTATTTCTGCTGAAGTCAGTGACTAATACCCCACTCACATTCGAAGGTAACTTTGTACATCAGTCTATGCATCATCTCATTCAGAATTCACAATAAGCTTGCAGGGGAGCCTGGGCGGCCCTTACTTCCCCCATTTTCACATTCTAGGATAGCAGCAAATCGATACATGTTTCTGTTTTTTTGTTTTGTTTGTTTTGTTTTGCAAGACAGGCAGGGTCAAGTGACTTGCCTAGGGTCACACAGCTAATAAGTGTCAAGTGTCTGAGGTCAAATTTGAACTCAGGTCCTCCTGATTCTAGGGCTAGTGCTGTATCCACTGCACCACCTAGCTGCCCCTTGATACACATTTCTGTCCAGTGTCTCTGGACCTGTGATTCCAGTGAAAGTTGTCTGTGACTTTGTCCATAAGTCTGACTGAGGAACTGCCTTTTGCCCGTAGTGGTTAAGTGACTTGAGGTGGGATTTGAACCTGAATTCATTCTTCTGTCCGTCAACCCCATTGCCTGAGCAGTGGTATCACAAGAGACAGGAGAATCGTTTCTGAAGGAGCTCCCCTTCTGGCCTCAGACCATTGTCTAATTAGAGCAAAGGTCAGAATTGGGACCTTTATTAAAAGAAATATTTATTTTTTTAATTAATTATTTAATTATTAATATTAATTATTAACTAGTTAAATTAAAATATTAAAAGAAATAATAAAGGATAGCACTATATTAAAAGAGAGGACCAAGATGACGTGAAAACTCCGTGCAATGCATGTTGTAACAGCCTCAAACTTTTGATATAAAAAAAATGTGAAAAAGATAAAGAAAGCCACGGGCAGAGACTGTCAGCATTTGCTTTAGAACAAGTGTTCTAAAGCTTAGCACGGCGCCTGCCACACAGGAGGCTCTTCTTAAGCATTTGTTGCTTGGTTGGTCTTCACCTAGGGGCTGTGAACCTGCTCTTTAAAATGTTTTGATAACTGTATTTCACTACAATTGGTTTCTTTTGTAATCCTATGTATTTTATGCATTTAAAAGCAAGATTCAGAGGAGGGGTCCATGGGCTTCACCAGACTGCCCAAGAAGTCCATGACATGAAACAAACAAAATAAGAACTCTGGGTTTAGAAATTTAATGAATATAAAGTAATCCCCATCGTGAGGAGGCCAGAGAGCCTTCCAAAATCCCTCTATTGGGCAAGACTCATTGCTGTCAATATTGGGGATATGAAGAAAGGCAAAAACATAGTCCC